ATGACGTAGATTTATTCGTTAATCAGAACGATCCTGTACAATAGTATCTCGATATGTTGCTATCTAATCAAGAAAAGCATTTGGATACATCATCGCATCATATACATCAAGCATCATACCGCCTATGGTGAGCGTAAACCCTCAAAGAACAAATTGATGGTAGGCGATTTGCCTATCAGCTTTGAGGGTGATCGAATCCATATACGCAATATGAGTTACCTGAAAGCTACGGGCTTGATCAAACTCTTGTTCAGGAAGGTACCTGACAAGACTAACGTAACCCAGAATGACTTGGACAGTTACAGAAACATTATGGTAATGACGAATGCACATAAAAAGTTCTATAAACCTGATGGTGCAATTCGTAAGAGCAAGAGTTTCAAATTTAATAACGTCATTGCAAAACAGCCCTCTGTAACGGGTAAAGGTATAGTACCGCGGTATATGATCGCTGTCAAGGACAAACGACCGGATTACGTGTACTGGGAAGATCTCAACGAACTGGTAGACCGCCTTCGCCTGCTCCTTGCGTCTCAGGAAGCTGGTAACCCCAGTCACTCCAACGAAATCGTATCGATTACCGAAGAATTCCGCGAGGCGGATATTATTTATTAATTCGATAAAACGATCACGATCGCCACTTTGAATATGAGCGTCGACGTGTTTGGACGTCAGTTAAGTAGCAGGGCCGCAGTTACGAGTAATCGTAGTCTCTCTGGTGCTGGATTCAAATTTACTGCTGCTGGACACTACTACATTGATAACAAGAGGCTGTACAACGTCGCCAATCCCGAGGAGGAAAACGATGCTGTGACCTTGAATCTGATGAAAACTGAGTGAAAACAAGTGACTGCTGAAATGCGCAATGATATCGATAACAACAATTTGATGATTCAATCTCTCGATTCTACCACGAAGGAAGCGTTGAAATGTCTGTAAGCTGATATCGAACCAGGACAAGAATTGGCTATTCGCAACTTTCTGATCATTTCCCAGCTGGACGCCAGGCTGAGTGGATGATGGGAAATGGATGGAAAAAAGTTAGCGGTGGTGACGGAGCTCGTAGACCTTCCAGAAAAAATTACAAACGCCGACACGTTGACGTCCGTGGGCTGGACGAAACTTGGCAAGCGGATCTCGTCGACATATCAGTATAAACCAGAAAGAACCATGGATACAAATATCTGCTCACCGTCATCGATATATTTTCAAAGTTTGCTTGGGCCGTGCCGTCGAAGGGCACGAACGCTAAAGATGTGACAGCAGCTATGAGATCTATACTGGCAAAGGATCGAATCCTGAAGAAATTGCATGTTGACCAAGGCCGAGAGTTTTACAATTCCGAATTTAAGGATCTTATGCATAAACATGGTATTACTAAATCGGGAACTCCAGGGGCTTAGCGTTGCGCGTTACCAATTTCGCCACCGTGATTCTGGCAGAATTTTAGACTCTAAAATACCCACACAGCACACTATATTTCGAAAACATTATAACAATCTTCCAATATTTCAATTTGACAGCAATGTTGTTGATGTCTTTATGTCAAATATTGCACAATATTTCAGGGCAATATAATAAATAAAACTTTCTGATATATTGCTGAAATCTGTGACAAGAGTCCCTAACCAGACTCGGAGTATCCGAGCGAACACTAGTTCGCTGCCGCGCCGCTAGGTGGCCAAGGCAACTCGTTTGAAAAAACGTAGGACCGGGTAAATAATTAATCCGTCGATTATTCGGTTTTCGTCTTCGCCGTCGATATATACTTTTGTATTCTGCATGTAAAAATTACATGTGAAATTATTGCATTTGTATAGAGTATTTAAAAATACAACCGAGGTAATATTTAAGGAGGTATAGGCAACCTGCCCAAAGAAACCCACGATACATTGCTGGCATTGGAATTTATTCTCAGTTATATTATTTCTCAGTTATCTATCTGAGTTATATTTTATTAATATTATGCATTGATATTTCCAAAATATTGACCGGCAATATTATAGCAATATTATGATTGCAACGTGCTGAGCGGACATTGCAAGGTTCCTGCAACATTCCAGAAATATTTAAACAATTTTCAATATATTTCCGGTAATATTGCATTATTTCAAGGGAAACTTTTGGCAATGTTGACAAAATATTTCTGTGCTGTGTGGGCTGTATTCGATATTCAGTAACTTGAAAGCATCGATCTGCGAGCGCGTTAATCGTACTCTAAAAAGTAATATGTGGATGCAGTTTAGTCTACAGAGCAATCACCGATGGCTGGATATCTTATCGGACTTGTATCCTCTTACAATAACAGTAGACATCGTACCATTGGTATGAAGGGACAGGTTACGGACACTGGTAACGAGAAGGAATTACTGCAATAGGTGTACAAGAAATTCAAAGTCAAATCCACACTTAAACGATCAAAGTTTATAGCCGGCAACAAAGTACGAATTAACAAGTTTAAATACATTTTTGAGAAAGGCTATACACTTAATTGGATAACTGAAATGTTCAAGATAACTCGAGTAAAGAATACCGATCCGGTGACGTACAATCTCAAGGACTACCAAGATCATCCCATTGAAGGTAGCTTCTATGTACAGGAACTCGTCAGCGTCAAATACCCCGATATACATATATCTTGTGAAGAAGGTACTGACAACGAGGAAACGTGAAAACAAGCTGTTTGTGAAACGGTTAGGTTTTGATGATTGGTACAATAATTAGATCGATATGTCAGATTTCTAAGGTGTTTGAAATAAAACAGAACTAAAATATTTATTACGTCTTGTTATTTATATTTTTTACGTATTATTGACATTTGTACATTCTTATTATATGTATATATGTATGTATATTCTCAAACGAAGTGATGATTTTTCCTGCAACGAGTGACCTTTTTTTTCGAAAAATTCAACTTGAGACAAAGCCGCGTGGGGTAGTCACAACATTGTGGATACTTGGCCGTTAAACTCGTCTTATCTCAAGCGATCTTTCTAGGAACGAACGTCAGTTCTTTCAATCGATTCTAGACGTTCGTCTAATGTGTTTTCCGCGTCTTCTGGAGAAGAGTACTCTTTGTTTTTACTTGGCCAAATGCATGCATGTAATGTAATATACCTATATCGAGATAAACAACAGAGTATTAGTCTAGTTAAATAGAGATATAGTCAAGAATTTTAGTATTCATCTTCAATTAACAAAATTTATTTCTTACTATAGAGCGCATGTTCTTTAGATTTTTCAGTCAAACCATTTTTTTACGTTATTGTGATTTACTTATACGCTAATTATTTTAATGGATCATTTGTCCGACGTTGTTATCGTCGATCGTAGTATAGGCCTACTGGGGACCCGCTACGTTAAATAATGGGAACGCATCGACTACGGCATCTCTTGGGTGTTGTGGAAGCCCGTAGATTATCGTTGTTGATTCCTTTATTATAATAAAGTAATAAATAAAAATAGAAAAAAAATTAATATTTGGTTCGATTTTTGAGGAGGTTGGAGCGTCTCACGCCGGTCAAATTAGTGCTAAATTTTAGTAATCGTTTTTATAAATTTAATGCATTATGTAACATTGGTTGAGTGTCATTTGCATTATTACATGTGTCCTTAATCTAGAGAAACATTAATGCTGGTTGATTTACAAGAACATTAACTAATTAACGTTAAATTCCGAGAAGGTATGTTTTCGTTGAGTTTTTTCAAAGAATAATCTGTAATTCTTTACCGTTTTAAATGCGGGACAGCTTATTCTGTTTCTCGAACGACGCTCTACAGATTTATCGTCTGAATATTGTATAGTGCTAACCCTTTAAAAATGATAACCTGTTGTTTACCCACCGACAAAAATTTCTTTATAAACAAATGGCTATAATTATTAAACGGTTAATATTATTAAATATTTAGGCAGTGAATTCGTAAAGGATTACTTAAGAAACGAAATGAGCCATGCCTCATTAAAATCGGTAAAAAATTACGGATTAATCTTTGAAAAGAATTGAAAAAAATGTATCTGTTCGAAAATCGATATTAATCAGGTAATATTATTGTAAATTCATTGCCCTTCACTGCAATCAATTAATTCATAAAACTTTGTAAAAACGATAAAAAATATTGAGTACTGATTTGACCGGCGTGAAGCGCTTCAACCTCCTTAATACGTTGTATTTCAAAAAAAACAAAAAAAACTATAATGTCCAGAACAAGGAAAAAAAAAACTTCCGAGGGAGAGAGTCTCAAACCACAGATCTCTGGCCTCCTAACCGAATGCCTTATCTATAGATCAGCACTACCTATTTTACCTACTTTTTTCGGAACTTGTATTTGCGCAGTTAAGTCGTTCGTTCTACTGCATAATTGACAGATAGACCATATGCATGATTTTCCTTTAAATTCATAATCATCTTACCTAAATTGTTAATAAAAAAATGAGAAGCTACGCTAAAAAATTAAGGTAAGGTCTACAACAAATAACACATAGTTATTTGAGAAAATGATTTGATATTTATTTATGTGCACTTGCATATGTGATTTACAGTCTGAAAATATATATTCCCAATAGAAAGCAATAAGAATTATAATACTAGAATTCGTTTCTATTATACATATAATCTATGATACACGTGATAAATCTTACAATTTCCCTATCATCAATTCTATTTAGAATGTTATTCGTATTATTAATGTCACTCGGAATAAATGGTGCTCGTTTCCCGCACACAAATTGCCCGTGCGCGCTACAGTCTCTTTTAGTACAAATCTCCACTCATAGGCAGCGCCACAAGATAGCTTGGACTTTTTTTCGAGACGCCGTCTACTCGCCGGGATTGGAACTAAAATTTTGCTATAGTTTAGGCTTGACGTACCCTCACCACGTTCTCCGCACCACGATACCAATCACACTCAAAACCTTGGTCTTTTTGTTGCCTACCGCTATGTTGACATACTTGGCGGGTCACTTTACCGAGTCTCTTTTGATTGGCTATGACGCTACAACATCATATTCTGATGTTGGATCTATCCAATCGCAAGCGTGTATTCCATACTGTCATCATAGCAACTTGATTCGAGTTCCAGGAACGTCACTGAATTTGCTTTCTGTCACATAATATCTAACAAAAGAACCAGAATATTAGCGGTACGGACAGTAGTTCTAGAACATACGTATAAGGTTTTGGTAACGATCAGTAACGATTTTATCCCGTGCTTCATTCAAATACCATGTTACCCTGGTGAGTGCTAAGAGTGCGGAATTCTTTTCAATTATTTAAAACACGACGCACAAAGCATTTTAAGCAGGAGATATTCTTCTATTCATTAGAGCTGCAAAACTGTTGGTTGTACATTTTTCTATATTCACGTTCATACATATATGCAATTATTCAATCTGATGGAACTTTATTATATCGAGTGTGTTAATGGTGAGTTATCACTGTACATTTACTAAGATCTGTAGTATTTTCTTTTACAATTACTTACCTCAATTATTTCCTAAATGGTGAAAGAATAAATTGCATATCTTCTCATTGGAATGAAAACGGTTAAAATATAGATAGATTACGCATTTACTAACAATGTATATTAATCAATTTTTAACTTTTTTATTTGGATGAAAACATCCATATCGTTATATATTTATTGTCTTATTTGAATTCATTATCTTTATCTGAAATTAGAGGGAATTCATATTTTTTGTTCGTGGTTCTATTATTAGACAGTATAAGTAATTTTCTTTTACAAGCGAACAAAGAAAGAAAATCTTAATCCAACGTCCTTTTCTTGTTTCTCACGGTTTAAATTATTTAATGATTATGATAGGTTACTAACCAAATTATCATTTGATTACGAGGCGACAATTCAATTTGGACGGCGACATAGTACGATAATATGGGAGAAAAATGGATCAGATACAATAGAATAAAAACAATGAAAATATTAGCGATGACGATAATGATGATAACAATCGGTAAGTATTTCAGTGTCTATCTTATTAATCTACATATGCTGTAGTTTAAAAAAATTGGCAAATTCTTTCACAGTGATCACAAGTATTGAGTATTGCATGTAATATATATATATATATAAGTTCTATTTTAAAAAATACCTCTGTATGTATAACTTACAGTAGAAAAAAGTATGATGTCTGAACATTGATATTGCATAAGTGCTGAATAGTATATCATAGGAGAAGGTATTTATAGTTTTGTAAAAATATTTAGAATTGTCAATAATAATTATTGTTTAAATAGGGATTATTATAGGTAATTTACATCTTTCTAATATTCACAGAAGATATAAAAAACAAAATTGAATATGGTGGTGTAAGAGCTACAGGAGTTTGATCAAGCATTTTAATAATGAAAAATATTTATCATCAGTTTCAAAATATTCAAAGCTTAAATGGCAGAAATCTCTTTTCTGACTAAATCTTGATTTCTTTGTTAAATAATAATTTAAAGAAATAATTATATTACAGTAATCTTATTTTAAAAGATTACAAAACTAAGTAATTTCCTATTGTTTCTGGGAATGTAAATTAATAAATAAGTAGAAGGGTATAAGTAAGTTTATCTGTAAAATATAATTTTTGAGATTTGAATATAGGATAATAGTATATTATCTATTGATCCGACTTCAACTTCTCTGAGATCGAATCACGTAAAAATCTTCTAGGACATATTTACCCTTTTCCTGTCAGTTTATTGTGATGCTGCAGATTCTTTAAAACAACTATAAAGAATATAATAAGTACAACATACGCAGTATTGAAGTTTTATATATAACCATGTACGTTACATATTACACATTATTTAGTGAAAATTCTATAATACTACTTACAATTGTTAATGTCTCCCTCTCCTCATTTTAGGTTTTTCTTTAATGAAGGAATTCAGGTGTACTTTTACATATTAATCACATACTTTATTTCTCACTTACAGCTCCTTTTTGTTTCATGTCCCAATGCACACTGCTCTCTTACTCTTCTTCTCCTCGCCCACACACATATCTCCTTCATATTCGAACATTACTTGAATTTTTACATTTATCTGACCTATCACATGCACTCCTCATGGTAATCATCGACCAATCATACTGCAAATTCCCTAGAATTTACACGACATTCATTACCTGTGTGAAGTTAGCTCCCCTTTTTTAATAAATGAAAAATTTAATAGTTGCTCCAGTTTCTTCCACATTTTTTCCAAATTGTTCCAAAGTAGTACCACAAAAACTTGTTTCAGGGCAGTAATAATTGAGAAAAAGTGAAATAAGCCACATCCCCTTTTCATTGAAAATCATATTTTTGAATATTGTTCCAGGTTGTTCTAGTTGTTTCTAATATTGTTCCAAAAGAGCATGGTCAGGTATGTAATCATTCACCCAGAAAGCGGAGAAAATGGTTCATTAAAAGAATGGTCGTTCCAGAGTTAACTACCCTTCCGTTTCTTGGTCTGAGAATTCTGTTGGTTGTTCCAAGTTGTTCTTATTCCTAATAACGTTGTTCTAAAGTTTGATTGAGATATTTGCAATAGTCTATTCAAAAAGTGCAATAACGGTCAACTAGCGCGGCCCGCCCCTATATTTGGAAATTTCACACTTTTAGTATTGTTCTGCATTGTTCTAACTTTGTTCTAAAATGTCCCAGAAAAATAAATTTCTAAGTTTTTCTAAAAAAAATAACTTTCTAATAAAAATCTGCGTACGGTACGTAACATTTAAAATATTCGTTTATATATTCCTAAAGAAATCGAAATAATAAATTCTTATTACAGGTAAATAAATGGTATTTTATTCACTGACTAATGAACACAACACAGCACATATTTCTTGTCAATTAAAGAAAATGGAAACAAAAAAAATACAAAAGCTCCGAAAATCCTCTTGTAAAAATCTGCGTACAGCTAACACTTCGATTATTTATAAACGATATCAATATTTGGTTGGCCATCCTTTGGCATTAATTACTGCTTTAAGTCTTCGAACCATGGTCTCTATTAATTTTCGAGTGAACTCAGGGCTGATGTTTCTCCATTCTTGCTGCAATAATTATTTTAACTGGACCTTGCTACTGTTATCGTGTTTTTTAATTCTATTTTCGAGTTCTGTCCACAAATGTTCGATCGGATTGAGATCAGGGGATTGTGGTCGAGTCTTTTGAATATGAGGGATGTTATATATTATCCATTGTCCTACTAAATAAGCTGTATGTTTAGGATTGTTATCATGTTGAAAGTAAAAATTGTCGCCGAGGCCAAGTTTTTCTGCACTGTCTTTCACGTTTTCTTTCAAAATATTTAAATAAATCATTTTTTTTCCATTATATTGTCGATTATTTTCAAATTTCCGGGACCCCCCCCCCCAATACTAAAACTCCACCACCCCGGTATTTTACAGTGGCTTGTAAATTTTTTGCTAACAGTTTTTTTCCTGGTTTTTTCCACACTAATTTTTTTTCTATGAATGCTAAAAATATTAAACTTACTTACTTTCATCAGAGAACAGCACCGTAGACCAAAAATCGAAATCTGTATTCGCGTAATCTTTTACAAATTATAATCGCCTTTTTTTTTTTTGAGATGTACGGCTTTTTTCTCGCCACGAAACTTCGATATTGGTATTGATGGAGCACTCTAGACACAGTTGAATGATGCACATCAGTACCAAAATATGTTTTTAATCTTGTAACTATCATAAAGGAAGTGGTTACATGGGTTTCGAAGGCTGAAAAGAAGCATATTTTCTCTAATGTTTTTTCAATATAATAAATGAATTATTCAAATCAAACTTTAAAGCATATAAAAGAGTAACATTTAAATAATATTTTCTAAAAGTTTCATTCTGAAATTTTTAAAATTCAGCCGTTGGGATTCGTTTTTCGGACACCCCTTAGAAAAAAGTATCCTCGCGGTGGTCAGGATAATTCATCATAGCTTTATTTGAAATCAGAAAACCAAATATCTTCTGTTAGTAGGTGAGTATAGCTCATGATTGAACGAAGGACTTAAAAAAAAATTAAAATTTGAATGTTTGGCAGTGCTGTATACAAAATGTACAATTTTCGGTACAATCTACACCACGTATTGTACTTTGTAAAATAAGTTGATCAAAGAAGAAGAAAAACCTTCGTGTAATCACTAGACAATCATATCTACAAGAAGTGTGCAAAATTTCAATAAAATCGGTGCATTAATGTTTGAGAAATCGTGTCCACCGACTTAAAAAATAGAGTTTTGAGAAACAGACTAAACAATATCTCAATAAAGTCTCGATATACATGTCGACTGAGCCTTATGAGAGAAATTTCCAAAGGCTCTCTTTCCTACTGTTTTACTCTGATTGACTTGAAATTTTGGAAAAATATTCGTGGCATACTATTAGATAAAATTTTTTTAAAATCGATTTTTTGAAATTTCCAAACTCATGTAACTCCTTAAGCCGCACCGTGTTGTCTTTTTTCAACCTACGAAGTATAAACTTCTTTTCTGAGTTTCCGATCTTCTTCGACTTCTCTTCCTCGGTTTCCTGTGTAAGATATTTTCTTTATTATACTTTTCTACGACTCGTTGAATAGTTGAACAACGTCTCGACAGAGTATCGGCGATTTCTCCATATGATTTTCCACTTTCTTGTAATTGGATTATAATTTCCCTTTCAGCAATTGTTAATTCTTTTTTCCGACCGCGTTCCATCATTTTCACTGTGTTTTACCGTCACTGAAGCTTTAGTCTGACTGACTGATCTAATGGGGAACTGGACTGTGACGGGAATTCAAAAACTGTCTAAGTAGTTTGCTAGAATGTGATCGTAGAATGCCAAAACGCTGATTAGATAATTTATTTATTACTAAAATATTAAGAAAATCGATAATAAAATTTGCTAAAATATTGCTATAAAGTGCTGGAGCGAAAACAATTTGTGATTGGCCGTGATGTCACAACTTTATCTCCTTATATAGAGTTTATTTTATAGCCAAATAGCCAATGAGAAAAGTCCGTATTCGAGCTTCGCAAGTTGGAGACGCATGGTCGGCGTCATAAGACGTTATTATTTAAAGTTTACTCACTAATCCGCAAGACGGCAGTACCGAATATGAGATTGTGACCATCAACATATAGTACTGGACTGCTCACTGTTGCCGCATAAAGTGTAACCGGGAATAGAAAGAGAGAGCAAAACGTAAGGACCGTTCTGTCCGTTTCTATCATTTTTCTATTGGTCGAAAGTTTTCTGGATGGACGGGGTTCAGGACTGTAATATGCAAAATAAGAACCATGTGCAAGATTACTCCGCACATGTATAATGTACGTTGTTACAGTCGAATCATGGAGACAGAAGTGTTTATCAAAATTCAATATTACTAAAAAAAAAGGTGATTCGCTGTCTTAAGTGTGGGCTTTCGCGAGACCTGTTTTCTGAGCCCAACACAATAAGCTTTCACCAGTAAGTAAAGTAGAAATATAACCTTGAATTTTATGGTTAACATAAGATTAAATCAATTCTTTTACTTATAAAATATATAAATAAAGTTCATCATGAAACATACATTTTACTGCGTGAGGTTCCCTTATTCCTGATTCCGTTTCTGCCTACGAGAAGAACAGAACGGTCCTTACGATTTACTCTCTCTTTCTATTCCCGGTTACACTTTCTGCGGCTACAGTGAGCAGTCCAGTACTATATGTCGATGGTTTTGACGGTCATTTTGTCACGTGACTCAACAGTGCGTTTGAACTGCTATTTGTGCAACACGATTTTTAATATCACTTTTTAACAAATGTAAGCATAATATTTACGTAAGCCATCAATATTCACAGTTTTTATGGTACCACAATTAGGAAAAAAGAAAAAAATTGGTCTAGTTCCCCATTACTTTAGAAATACGTTTTTACGTAGAAATACAAGTGCGTAGAAATGAAAACAAAATTAGTCCGAACGTTACATTTAAAGTAAACAAATACATACAATGTATTAATGGTGCGCCGTACGCAGACTTTCGCAATGAGATTTTCGCACCTTTCGTATTTTTTCGTTTCCATTTTCTTTAATTGAAAAGAAATATGTGCTGTGTTGTGTTCATTGGTTAGTGGATAGAATACCGTTTATTTACCTCTAATAGGAATTTATTATTTCGATTTCTTTAGGAATATATAAACGAATATTTAAAATGTAACGTACTGTACGGAGACCTTTGAAAGACCACCCTTAATTTCCCTTAGCGGTAAGGCGAAAAAAGAAACACTTTTGTTTCTGAGTCCCCCACTCTTGGAAAATCAAACTTCTGCTGGTTGTTTCAGGTTGTTCCAGGTTGTTCTGATTGTTCAAAACATTCTTCCAAAGTAACAATTGCGCTAAATGAAAGGTACGCGAATGAGAACAAAAACTGTTTTGGAGGGATATACCGTAAGACCCTGCTTAACGCGGGGGATACGTTCCGATAAGTTTCAACGCTAAACGAAACAGCATTAAACGAGGTCATCTTAACACGTAAATAATGGGGGTAAGTGAAACAGAACAAAGAATAAGAAAATTTATCAGTTCTTTTTTTGTTTTATTTTGTAACATTCATTGTTAAATAGTTTTTTATTACATCAATTATAGACTTATTTATTGCTAATGTCCATTTTCATTCATAAAACATTCATGAAAATAAAAAAAATTCGAGTAAAGATGTCATGTTTGTGACGAGGAAGGTTCTTCCTCATTTGATATTTTTTGTTTTTGCTTCCTCATAGAGGAAGCTATGTGACGGTGGAAAATTTTCCTGTCGAGATTTTCATGTCACCATGTTCAGCATGTGCCCAAACATCGAGAAAACACGTTTCGAGAAAATGTCCGGATGCCCAAAATTCAAACGTGTATAACTCGAGACGGTTTTAGCTACAGCCTCCCAATTATGCAGGCATATGCAGATCTATAATCCCTTCATTGACTATAATTATCGTCATGATTCAAGCTGTGGCTCAAAATTGATGTCATTTTCAAATTTCCAAAAAAAGGACGTTTGCACTCTAGCGATCGCAAATTTTGTGATAATCGTCTAAATAGTTCTTAACAAAGAGATATGTATCCAGGGTTGGTTGGTATTGCATTTGGACCGAATCGATCGAGAAGTTTTGATTTTATGATATTTTGAATTTTTCGAAAAATTAAATTTATCAATATAACTCCCGTCAACTTTGACCAATTGAGCTCCAATTTTCGAAAAGTATAGAGTATCATTTAGCCGTAATATGTCTCAAATTTGGCGGAGATTGGTAAAACGGATCTGATTATACATATCTTCAAGTTTTTGAATTTCAGCCAATTCAAAAATATTAGGCCCGAAGAGATCATGCAAGAGATTTATCCTTACATGCGTTCTCTACAGTATGAACACCCCAAGTTGTGAGAGGCATGGGGACTCACGTTAAACAAGCTGCAAGTTGAAACTTGCAATTTGCTTCCTCTGAATCGTAAGTAGTGTACGAAGTCCTTATATGAGGATGCGAAGAGTTTCAATTTTAATTTTAAATTTAAACATTTCTCATTTCATACTCATTTCAAACGATTTCAAGAATTCAAATGGTACCGCGTTATACTGAAACAGCGTTAAGCGGAGCAGCATTAAGCGGGGTCTTACTGTATATATTTTGTATATCACACATTTTGTATTTTGTTGTCACGAGTTCAATGTGTTTTTGTAACAGTTAACCCTCTATAGCAGCACCTCTCGAGAATCACGTAATAATAAAACGGGGTCTATTAGACCCCAGCGGTTTTAAAGGGCTGCAGAAATTTCTAGAATCCTTCAAATGGTTGAAGCAAAATTGGGAATGCATACCAAACCGTTCTTTTTGAATGTGTGCAGGAATAAACTTGAAAATTTTATTTCGAATATGTTAAAAAGACCCGCGAAAAAATAATTTGGAAAAATGACGTGTTTTCATAAAAAATGCTCTACTTTCTTTGTTTTTAGAGATTTTTCAAAAATTCAAATGGCGTTTGAATCTGTAAAGATGTCTCTTTGTGGTTGGTATATTGGGTTTTACATGATTTTCAAAAAGTATATTTACTTTGAAGAATGAAGGGGGCATTTTGGGGGAAAATAAAGTACGAGCTATTTTATGGTTTATTATACTAATTTGTTTTATAAAATTGTAAAAAGATTAGAGAAAGATATAAATGTGTAGATAAACGTATTATTTTACCCCATAGCCACAATCGTTGCATAAATAACTTCTGTGCTTGTCGTACATGGAGTATCTGCACGTTGGACACTGTAAGAACGTTTTAGTGTCTTCATTTCTCTTGCATAAGTTACATCTTTGTCGCTTTTCAAACCTGGGCCGTTTGTCACGTTTGTCTTCAGATATTGATTATTTGCATTCACCTTTATGTATTTAATCACTTGCAATCGAAAAAATGAATTGCTCCAAAAATCGTATTTCGAACGTAATAATAGCACGGGGGGCATTGACTCCACGCTTCTACCTTGTACTTCCGACGGCTGCCGAAATAGTATTGATGCTTTAAATCATATCCTTACTATGCGAGTCTAGTATTACATCTCGTGAACCAACTATACAAAGTTTTCTCCTCGTAACGAACTTGCGACTAGCCGATGATTATACAAATCTGGAACAATCATCCATAGACAAAGAAGAACGCAGAATAACATTTAATTTTATCAAAACATCAAATTTCGTTGGCTAAATTATCAGAAAAACAGTTTTTGTTCTCATTAGTGTATTTTTCATTTAGTGATATATTGTAACTTTGGAACAGTGAGAACAACCTGGAACAACCGGCAAGAGTTCTATTTTCGAAAAGTGGGGGGCTCGGAAAAGAAAGTGTTTTTTTTTTCGCTTTATCGCTAAGAGAAATATTTTAGAAAGTTATTTTTCTGGATTTATAGAACAAACTTAAAACAATGCAGAACAGCACTAAAAATCTCAAATTTTCAAATATGGGGGGTTAACTTCTCACATCCTTGCACTTAAAAATTGAATAATATTTCAAATCAGTATTTAAGAAAATCTAAGCCCGTTTAATGACTAATCCGTACGGAATTTTAGCCTTCTGCCCAATCTTTTCAGCACAAGCGTGTGTCCATTTATTATATTTAAGTACTCTATATGTATGTACGCCAGTCATATATTTTTGATTTTGTATTACTAAACTTGATTTTATTCCACTGATCTGCTGAAATGACGAGTTGAAATTTTTTATTTCACATTGAGGATGTCATGTTTTTAATATTAAAACTTGAATCGATTGTTATGTCGGGATCTTTATTAATTTCTGATAATATTCAGATCAAATGATTAGATTATTCTTTTCTTGATATATTTATTTAGAATCATATTAAATACAAAATCGATGTTTGTCGCATTGTCCTCCTTGTCATCCTATAATGAGACTGCTACTGCAAGGTATTATTCTATAGGCTCTTTGCGATTAACTCAAGGTCTCTCGGAGTGGAGAGGGAAGCATGTATACAAACATACGATATAAATGTACATACAATACTCAATATTCAACAATTTCAATGGAAAATGCCTTCATTACAGCACGACGTAAGTCGCTGTGAATTTCACTGATGATCGTATAAACATGTTTCAGACTGATAGACGAACCATATTGCAACATTGTATGTGCAATCGCTTTAAAAACTTCATGTTTGGGTGGAAAAATTTTACCATAATTATCTAACGTTTGAAATTTTTCGCTGATTAGCAGTTCGCGCGATTTCTCCTCGCCATACATTTTTTTTACATAGAAACTATTAGGTTAATTCATTCAAACTTGTCTAAGTGTTTTTAATTATTTTATTGAAATGAATAGCAACAGAAACTTATTAACACTAATTTTGTAAGTACTGTCCTTCTGTTTCTACCACACGGGTTGAGCGCTCCTCAAGCTTCTGTACATCTGCCTGCGATATTGCCCTCCTCTATTTCTCTGGTCAAACCTACTTCTAACTCCTCCCTCCTACTTAATTTTAAATCATCAGTTAAAATTCTACAAATAGTAGAGTGAGGAATGTCCAACTCCTCGGAAAGCTCCATCTCCAACCAGTATCTTTTGTCTTCAAGTTCCAGCTGCAATACATTGATCGCGATCAGGGTGAAAATGGTGAGTCCCATCTCTGCCCTCGCTAGCATCCCACTAATTTTCTTGAAAACGCTTCACCCAAAATTTTACCGTAGACAGAGAGTACGCAGTCTTGCCAGTACTCTTATGCAGCAGCCGATGAATTTCGGAAGCAGTAGCCCCACCGAGTACATGAATTTTTATGAACTCCCACTGTTCAATATCAGTAATAGATGATATGCCTCTTTGTTGATCGATAACTAAATCACAAAAAAAGTTGTTGTTTATCTATCAAACGTCAGAACACGTCGCAATTTGTTGACGCAGTAATAAATACTTAAACTGTAGTTATGAATGACTTAATATATTGACATTGACTGATTCTATACAACCATTTTAAAAATTAAATATGGTGGTATGTTGAAAGAAGAATGAAGAAATTGCTTACATAAAAGCGTAAAAATCTATTGGAATTCTAAAGACTCTGCACTATGGTATAGAAAACAAAAGCAGGCGAAGTAAAAACGAATTCTGTCGTATGCACTAGTCAAGACTGAAATAATCTGAGAAATAAGGAATGCCGCTTCTTTTATTGGTGCTATTAGCGCGGTATGTCAGTTCTGCTGCTGCTGCTTTATGTTTTCTCTGTAGGGTAGCTGATGCGGCCCCTATGTGAACCTGGTACCCTACTTAAAGAATAATAATTTTTAAAATGCCTCGTGATTCTACCCCTTTTGTACCACTTTTATTTTCATTTGTATCCCAATAGTTGCGGAGATACAGGATTTTCACTATTCACTGAGCAGGTAACTATGCCATTTTTTGAGCTAGCCCAAATTTGCGAAAGGATGTTGATTCTCTATCGTTTGTACCCGTTCGTACTGTTTTTCTTCGCACGCATTCTAAGGCTTGTGGAGATATAGGATTTTCAAAATTCACTGAAAGAGTAACTGCGTCATTTTTTAAGCTAGCTCAAATCTGCGATAGGTTGCTGATTCTCGTTTTTACCCGTTTGTGCCGCTACGCTATACGTATTAGGTGCACGGCTGTACTGACAAAGAAACCGTGGTAGGTGTCCGCCACCGATTTTCTTCATTCTCACATATGTTGTAGTACTCGATAAACTAAGTGACACGTGTTTTTTCGTATCGGCCCAAATTGGGTTTTTGGGGGTGAAAACCGCTTCCGAAAATTGAGGTACTAAACACCCATTTAATTATTTTACATATAACAGCGGTATCTTTCACAATGAAACCAACTAGAAAAATTTCCTCACAATGAGAGATCAAAAATGTGATTTTCTCAAACTTGTCAAAAAATTTGTATGGGGGTAAATCACCCCAAAATTATTTTGGATTATACAAAATCACCATAAGTGCAGTTTACTGTTGGTATGTTTTCATAAAATAAAGGAACTTATACATTGTGACGTGGTAGATTTTACCCCGTCAGGACCTCGGCGGGAACTGTAGTGGTACGCGGGAAAACGCAAATTATAAAAGAATCCGGGCAAGATGCCACCACCTCAAGGGTTAACGAAGTTATGAACTGGTAGATTTCTGATTCGGTTGTTTTGATTTTTGCTATGTCCTATGCTGCGAATATTGTATTCGCGGTCTTACCGAATCTCGAGAAAAACCAGCGAGGGATCATCAGCGTGGGAGGAACGAGGACGAAAGGTTGAGTGACGTCAGAACGCCGGTAGGGCCCGAGCTGCGCGCGCTGTAGCTCTCCGCACCAATCACCTCGCGACTTCGATCAACTCTACGCACGTTATCACCCGAGCTAAATGAACAGGTCTACGCGTATCGAGTAACTAGCAGGGAGCTATTACTCATTCCGCGTGACATGGACCTACGAACGACGGAGCACCTGTAACGCACCACAACTCATGACGGAGGCCCACTGCTATCGACGAACGGAACGAAGACTCGCGAACTGGAAATCCAGGGACGCCTGGTGAATCGTTGCGAATTCCTCTGGGACGACGGAGCCCATCGCGGGACAGCCAGTAATCGCTGTTCCCGAATCGTATGAATTGTCGCGAAGACGTATTTGAATTGTAGCGCGTGGTGTCATATCGGAGATTTCTGATTGGGGCTGTAGGACCAATCAGCGGTGGTTGCGAATATGGGAGAGGATGATAGTCTCGGGTGCTGGTGATTACGATCGAAAGGGAAGGCAACTTCCTTCTTCTTGCCTGGACTGTCGACGACGCTAGTCGTGTTTTTGGAACCGTTTAGTTTTCCGGGGTTAACTTCTGTGAAGAATCCGGACATCATTCGAGGCTGCGGTTACAGGCTAAATTCTCCCTAGCGAAGAGACAAAGAGATTTCGGGAAGCGATTTGCTAATTTTTGTGAGCGACGAAATCTCGTAACACCCCGCGTTTGTACGTTTTGACTGGTGCCTATAAGCACGTGGGAGATGTTCTCACTCGTAGAATCGCGTTCGTTTAGGAGTACGAGATTCCCCCGATCGGCAAGGGACTGTTGTCGCGTAAATATGTTGCCCCTAGTGGACATGTTTATCGCGCGTTTGTGAAGCGAATGGAATACGACTCTGTGTGAATGATAAGTTCTCTCGGCAATAGAGTGTTAGATCTCCGAATTTCATTGTATCGTGTTCACGTGAGGGACGTGTTGCCGAGAGACACGAAATAGTCCTTGAGGTCGTGTTTTCGAAGTGTCGCGACTAGATCGCGTTAAATTGTAGAATCGACTCAAGTATTGAGATTGTATGTAATTGAACCGATAACGAATTGTCCGGAAGAAGTTTAAGTGTATCGAACCATATGAAAATATTTATTCATCGCGATTCCCCGCTGACGTCACAACTGGTTGGCGCCCAGCGTAGGGCTCGAAGAATCTGTCGCACAAAATAAAAGATCGATTTTGTTATTGTTGACCCAAAAAGCCGGAGTATTCCTTTTGTTGAAGTTGTCCTTACTCTTGAAGATCCCCGACGCCTCCGCGGTGCCGAGTTAGCCAATAGAGGCCTGAACGACCGACTAGAACCGAAGTATACGTGGTTCCCGTTTTGGAAGCTGGCGCCCAACAATACCGCAGGTATTATTTCGAATTCGTATGTGTTAGCCCTGGGTTGCCTGGAACGCGAAGGAATCGCGTAAGTTGTGCGCCGGTCAGTCTCTCTTCTCCCGACGAGGCTTGATCGCGAAAAATACGTCACAATACATGTAATACAGCCACCAGAGGGACAGGGATATCCGCAAGCAAAAGTGAGTCAATGAGCCGATAAGCTCCAAACTTTGTTATAGAATTCTGAAAAAGAGACGAAGAGGTGATAAAAGCTACTAACGTACAGCACCTAGTAGTCCAATCCATCGCACTGCTTCTATATGAAATTTTTTAGAATCAACAAACTAATTTATAATTTGCAGGAATCTGCCTACCCCTTGAAGGCAATGCATAATCCGTTACACTAAATTACTCCAATACCTACGATATTTTCAAAAAATGTTACCTGTTTCTCATTTCAACGTCCGCATATGTATATCTAATGTATATCAATATCCGCAATTATACAGGATGTCCCAAAATTCGATAATAATCTTCACGTAGCGAGAATCAGGATCAAAAGCAGATTATGAAAATGACCTTCCTTTTGTTCAAAAGTTCATAGTTTTTAAACGGGAGCCGGTCGAAGTTCACCAATCAGAATGTGGTGACAACGGAAATGGCAAAGATATGCAAACTTAGAGTTTTCTTCCTCGCTTTTGTTTCTCGGTCACAGTAACGACAATGAATCCAGTTCCCCATGCATACTAGATAATACGCTACTTGATGGGCTTTTGTTTTTAGCTGATTGATGAGAATTAAACAGAGAATGCGAAGTCTCAGTTATACGAACCACCTAGTCTCTGAAACACCGTCAGACATACTTTGACACTCAAACATAACTTTACAATATTCCTTTCTGAGTCGAGACGTACTGACTGTAATTAAATAAAAATAAACATTCATAGAACAGTGCATTTGTATCACGTAATATCTAAGCACGTCCTCATAGGTAGAAGGATTGTGTAATATGGGACTATCTTGTTGATTGATCTGATTAGAATTTATATGAAAATTCAATCATAATCCTAGAGCCTGGTACAGGTCTACGTCAGGTTCACGATAGATCGATGGTAGATTTACGGGAGATCTGTCGTGTATAAAGAAGCTTTTTCCCAAATCTGGAAGTCGTCGTCGTCTTCGAGGTACAAACGTAACTCGTTCATTTCCTACATGCCCTGGTGTTCCTCGCTCATAATTTCTCCGGTACATTTTCCGGAACTTTCTTCGGTACTTTTTTCGGGACATTTTCCCGTACTTTCCAGCATTACGTAAAGGAACTGCAGAACTCATCATCGTGTAACTGGGACTTCGCATTCTCTGTTTAATTCTCATCAATCAGCTAAAAACAAAAGCCCATCGGGTAGCGTATTATCTAGTATGCATGGGGAACTAAATTCACTGTCATTACTGTGACCGAGAAACAAAAACGAGGAAGAAAACTCTAAGTTTGCATATCTTTGTCATTTCCGTTGTCACCACATTCTGATTGGTGAACTTTGACCGGGTCCCGTTTAAAAACTATGAACTTTTGAACAAAAGGAAGGTCATTTTTGTAATCTGCTTTTGATCCTGATTCTCGCTACGTGGAGATTATTATTGAATTTTGGGACACCCTGCATATGTCATGTGCCGTGCCTTTTTGAATTTGGATCTCGCACACACATATATGCAACAGAGAAACCACGCGATCTCGGAGATGCCGACTCCAGCAATATGTGAGGAAGCTAGCTTCCGGTCTTATCGCACCAAGAACGTGCCGAAACGTGTGAACTGAAAATTCTAGGATTCACGCAAGCAGGTAAAACCGCTGAATTTGTAAGATTTGCCTTCCCTGCTCCATCCTACTTTCTGCTGAAAGTATCTTCCAAAAGAATTGGCAACGGTTCTCGTAAAAATGATGTGTATTTCTCTGCGTTTAAAGTGCCGTTGATAAAATAGGGCCCAATTATTCGACCATTTAACATTCCGAACCAAACATTGACGGACCATGGTTTTTGTTTGTCTACTGTCCGTAACCATCGCAGATTTTCAACAGACCAAAAGTGCATGTTTCTCAAATTTATCTGGCCATGATTCGTAAACGAAGCTTCATCGGTAAATAATACTTTATTAAAGAATTCTCCGTCAATGTTCAACTGCCTCAGTCCCCACTGGCCAAATTTTACACGGTTTTCGAAATCTGTACCATGAAGTTCATGATACAGTCAAAGGTGATATGGGTGAAATTTGTGTGAATGAAGTATTCGTAATACACTTCTTTGACTAATGCCACTTCCTCGTGCGATTTGCCTATTACTAGCAAGAGGATTTTCATTCACCGCAGTAGTTATAAGCCACTTCTCGTTGTCACAACAAACCCCCACCACTGTCCCGATGAGTCATAGAGCGCATCGCGCTGTGTCCCCCCGTACCGCACTATGGCGTCACCCCCTCGCCTATGTGGTCGGCTCTCCCCACCGCCAACCTATGTTGTTGCTCCCCCACCATGCGGACCTGGTCCTAAGGCCCGAAACTCAGTAGCAGCGGCGTTGCGTGCCTCCAGGGGCCTATCACGGTCGGTAATTATGCATTGACCGCCGGTCGGTAACTTTTTAATTATCCTAAGGAGAAAAGTGTACCCGTGGTAAAATGGAACACCGTATTTTGTAAGACACCTTATGTATATTATAAAGCTGTAGCGCATGATACATTTTCGATTATTACCGTATTCTTGACGCGAATCTGCTTTAAGTCGTAAAAACGTATCCTGATTAATTGGTAAGGCCTGGTCCCCGATTCTGCCCGTTTCCCAAGCCGCGTGACATTCTCCGAACAATGATGTAATCAGGGTTCAGATCGTCTCTGAAGAATGTCTTTATCTCAGCGAAGTGAAAATCCCTGCAGGTGTACGGCAGCGTCGAATAAGAACAACGTACAGCGGAATACGCTTAATGCTTTATAAATTATTGAGAAGATATGGGGTGATGGAGGTGTAAGAAACAAAAAAAAAAAACAGTTTTTTTTTTTTTTTAATAAAAATATATTATACACATTTTGCAAGAAACATCAAGCGTACAGTTTTT